TTACATCTGACAGTTGTGGTCTAATGCAAAATGTAAAAAAATGGTCCTGAGATTTAAAGCTGAGTGTGAACCCTGAGCTTTCCTGGTGATGCTGATGCCCACACTCAGCACCTGTGTAGCTGCACAACTTTTGGAGGGGCTATAAATCTGTGCAGGTCCGGCATGGGGACATTCCCCAGCAGCAGACATGGTCTGAGACTAATGTTTGTGCTGGAAGGAGGTGCCCAGTTGAGCTGGCACAGTGCTGGAGAGCAGATGCTTCCTGCCCACTGGGCCTGCATCTTGCCCACTGGGGCTGCTGCTTTCCTCTCAGGGACTCTTTTCCCTAAAAGTCCATAGTAGCAGGGAAAAACCTCACACCCAACAATGTCTGCCAAAACAGGAAGCAGAAGCAGAGGGGCCACCCTGATGGGCAAACCCATGATCTCCGGTCTCTGGAAAACCCTGATTCATCTCAGGCCAGCCTTTGGCTGAGCTGGGCAGAGGGTTCCCCTCTGGGATTACTCCAGGGTTGGGTCCCCTTACTACTTGACAATGAGTGACCTGAAACTAGCAATGTCACAGGACAGAAATGCTGGGTTGCCACGCCAGTCTGAAAATCATCGGAAACATGAAACAGCACAAGATTTGGTCCTGGAGTGCAGTAACTTTCCCTGTGCTTCATCACCTCCTCCAATGCCAATGTGAAGTGGAGAGAAGGAGGCAAGTTTTGACATCTGCAGTTAGAGCTGGTTTGGGGGCAGCACAGTGCAGCTGGAGGTGAGCTTGGTGCTGCATCCAAAGACCTTTTCGTGCAGGAGGCTAAGGGATGTGATCCCTGGGAGGCATGTAATCCTGTGGTCTAAGGATTATACACACGTAACTCTGGGCATGGCTGGAAAGGCAGTGTTTGTGACTGAAAGCAGAGGATGCTGTTCTGGATGCAGGGAGGACCTCGGGCTGGTTCTCTGCTCCCATCCTCAGTTATGTAGTCTCTGCAGGATGCAGGGTTGTCTGTCATGGGTGTGCTGTGAATCTCCATCGGGAAGTGGCTCAACGACAAGCGTCTCAGACACACTGAAACCTCTCTTCAAATATTCAGGGGGTCTTTGCACTTGTCTCAGACCAATGTCTCATCCCCAGCTTAGCACTGGAGGCCCTGACTCTAGGAGACTTCTGCAGCTAAAGCTATCTAAAGTCTGCAAATTTGAGGAATTGAGGCTTTTATGCTTGACTTCCCCAATATATGTGATATATTTCTCAGCTGCAACTTACACTTATAAGCAATATGTACTTCAGAGATTTGTAACTTAGGTTTGCAGATGCTTCCTTAGATTGGAACATCGAACTTGCATGGGATCGTTCCTGTCTTCTATATTCAGCATCAATAGCAATCCTAAAATCCAAATTTAGCTGAGCAGGAGCCTACAGATGGGATATGTCTCTACTGAAAAAACAGTTGTGAATCCTTTGCACTAGACAACGAAAGATTTACTGACCTGTAAAAATGAAGATGCGATAAACAAGAAGTGTTGATAAGGAGATTATTTTTGAAGTGCAGTCCTAATTTCCTCTGTCATGATGCTGAAAAGCTGTTATCCTCATTGTCAGCTAAAGGTGTGTCAAGAAGCAGATTGTTATGAGGGTAAAGGTTTTCTTCCTGGGATCTATTAATTCAATATGCTTGTTCATTGAATGGTATTTGAGATTTTTGTTCAAACTTGTTTTCATTACCTTTATTACCAGACAAGGAAACTATCAGTTTTCCTGTGGGATTTTCCATGAGCTCAACTCATTTGTCCTAAGTAATTCCAGCTGTGCATGTTTCAAGGTAGAAAAGCAGCAGTTTGGGCTGCAGGTGGCTGGCAGCAGCCCTCTGGGTAAGTAGGCATTACCTTGTTACCTTCTGCTGGGAATATGACTTCTGGCTCTATTTTCTTCCTTTCCAAGTAGTGAACACACATATTTTTCCCAGGTCTGTTTGAGGGAGGTTGGTTTCAGAGGTCTGACCTGCTGCAAAGCTGTGATTTGGTAGTTTCAAAAGTGTGAACTCCTTTTGAGAACTTTGCTGCTAGTGGTACCGACCTCATGTGATGATACTTTTGCCCTCTCTAGTCACATCTGAACCAAACTAACTACAGAGAGCTTTCCTGATTTTGGTTGCTTTTGGCATCAGAGATTCTACATGTCTGAATAATAAGCCAGGAGATCAAACCTGAGAGAAATGTCCTAAATCTTCACCAAAGCAAGGGCTTGTATGCAAGCATGGTCTGCATCCCCATCCTGGTATTTCTGCTTGAGGAGTGGTCCATAGCTGAGGCTGATGACACCTTTCCTGTGGTATTCTGGCAGAGGAGGCATCCATCCCTGAGGCTGCCCTGGAACCCTCCTCTGATATTTGAGCAAGGGAGGTGTGCATTTCTGTGGTTGCCATGCCATCCTCCATCTGACATGAAGACGGAGGAGGGATCCATATCAGAGATTTCTGTCTGGGCCCAGCTGTCCCTGACATGTTCACAGTGGGCAGGAGACACCACGTGCTGGAAGAGTCCTCTTGACCCGGGAGGCTTGGCAGCCAGCCATTCCCGGTTTGCTGTCCCTGGACCTTCAGTCAGGCTTCTTTATAGCCTGGGGCAAGTCACCCTCCCCCAGAGAATGGAGGGAGGGATATTGTCCCTGTGTTTGGAGCTACTTGCAGTCTGATGGGCACCCTCAATATCTGCCATGCGGTGACTCGGGGAGGAACAACAGGTGCTGAGGGAAGAGTGTGGCTTTCTCCTTTTCATCTGAAGGAAGCCGGAAGTGTTTTTTCCTGATGTGGAAGTCCAGTCATCTCTGAGTCCAACTCACTCCAGTGGAGTGGGAACTCACGCTTTCTGCTAACCCACTCCACTGGGAAACGAACAGCATGTTGTCGGGTCACAGCACAAGGCTCAGGTCTGGAGTGGGGCTGAACAAGGCATTCAGATCAGACCTGGAAGACCATTGGGCTGGGAAAATTGTGGGGGATTCACATCTGCCTGTAGCACAGATGTTCTGGAAAACACTGCTACTTCGGAGAAGCCTCAGGGGTCCTCTGACAGAAAACCACCTTTTAGCACCCTATTTTTAATAGGTACTTTTAGCACCCTATTTTTAAGGTACTCCAGTGCTTGCTACCCAGTAGTTCTTTCTTTTTCCCAGCTTGCTCTTGCTTCTTTATATAACACTGCTTCTCTGATTACAGCTTCCTAATGCCTCTGGAGTTCAGCATGAACAGACAAGGACAAGATCTCTGTGCAGCTAGACAAGTGTATGTGTGTGCTCCTATGGGATGCATGCTGCTTTTCTTTTACTGCTCTTGCATTAAATAGGGGTCACTAAGATGGGACCGCTTCTGACCTGAGTGCACTCAGAGGTGCACTCTGAGGGAAGGCAAAAGCCTCACCAGTGAAGCTAAAAGAAATGGTGCAAGGAGCCACATCTGGGGCAGCATCGGATATCCGTGTTCTCTGCAATGTGGCTCGGTGCTCCCAGATGTGAGAGCACAGCTGTGCTGTGCAGCACAGGGCTGGGTGTCCTGACAGACCTGCTCTGAACCCTGGAACCTGACCTGCTCAGCTGAACCCCGGGGCTGCCAAAACCACCATGAGGCAGGCAGAGCTGCGTAAGCTGTGTCAGCAGAGCTGCTCACACACTCACTGCCTGTGGTGTGGGAGGAATATGCCTATCCATGTTTAAAAGCTGGGGCTGGGACCTGCCTCTCCTCAGTAGTGCTCTCCAGGCACATGGCTGTGCCCTGCTGGCACATGACTTGTTTACAGGGGATGTGAGGCCTAATTTTAGGTCAGGGAATGAAACACTGGAAAGGTCACTGGATGGGACCAAATCCCAACTGGCTCTCACGACAGTACCGGCATCGTGTTCAGACCTGGTGAAACTAATCAGGATGCCTTTTCACTGCAGTTGTTTTACCCCAGCCCAGACACCTTCCCTGCCCCAGGACTCCCTGCCTTGGGGCATCTCTTTTTGCTCAGTAGGAAAGGCTGCCTATAAATTCCTCGTCACTACATGGTGGAAAGTACTGGGGGAAAGCACCTCGAAAAAGCAGTAGTTCTGTTTGAGGTCTTGAAGGCTAGACACCAAGAAGTTCTGTTTTGAACTTCCTTGTGGGTCCTCGGGATTTGCCCCAGCTGTTCTTGGCCTCTCTCCTGCTGCATTATCCTCTTGTGTCCAAGTAAACTTGGGGTTAGTGAGTGGCACAGAGGGAAGTTTCCAGGGAAAATCCAAGTACCCATGAGGACTCAATAGCCTGTGTTTCAAACCCTCTGACTCAATAAGGAGTTCATTGCACTGTTGAAATCAACAGAGTTGTTGCTACCAAATTTACTGGCTGCAAAGAAAGGCACTGAAATTCCCAGTGACCCGGCAATAAAATATTCCTCTTTCCTCAACAAATATCTGAGCAATCCTGCTGGCTCTTCAGAACAATAGCCTTTTTCTTTGCCTAGAGGGATTTAAAAGTCAAATTCAGATTTTCTCTTTTATCTGGAAAGCACTAAACAGCTTCTGAATAAGGTTCTTCTGCAGGGGAAACTGAGGCACAGTGAGCAAACTTCCTTTCCAGAGGCCAGAGCTGGAATCACATGTCCCACTGCTCCCTGGTAGAGCGTGGGCTTGGGGCTGGATAGGGTGCTTTTGTCTCCTGGGAGTTTTTCCAATAACACAGCAGCCAGACATGGATCCTTCCTAAACCACTTCCTAAATGGATGTTGTCATAATTATTCCTAACGTTCCCTTTATAGAATAGAGGAAAAGCTCTAAAGTAAGTAAATATGAGTGGTAGATATGAAACCCTATATTGCAATGCCAGTGTAAAGGCATTAATTTGGATGTAAAGGTAAGCCCTGTGTTTGCACTTCTGACTACTTCAGTCTTCTATCTACCTGCATTAGAAAGAAGCTGCTTCACTCATAAAAGGTTGAAAGGGCAGTTACATTTAGTATTAAAGTTTTGGAGTTGTTTTTTTTTTATTGTGGAAAATAATATTCACTTGAGGATTCTGGTTGATACACCCCATTGCAAGCATTTTCCCAGAAATACAGCTGTAACAGCAACAATGCAATTAGTTTTTCTTCTTGTGACTAAAACAATGGCATTTAAATCCACACACCAAGGCTGAAGGTTAAATGATTGTGGAGACATAGCAGTTGTTGTTTGTAACAGATTGTGAATAACTCTGGGAAACAGAACAATACTGCTGTGACTTTTGCTGCCTGTCTGTAGGCAGTTTGGTTAACTCAAAATTTTCTCCTGCTTTGGATGTTTAATAAAACAAAAGTAGGCATCCATTCAAGTATTCCTGCCCTGTTGCAAACCAAACAAATCCTTTTTTGTTGTTGTTTTTTATTAATTCACTCAGCAGACATAACCTTGAGCTGTTTCAGTATTTAATCACTTGCAAAAGGTATTTTGAGGGAAGCGAGAAATCCCAGACACTATCCCAGACCCAAGTGTCGGGGCCAAAACCAGAGGAAATGGTGTGTTCAGGTTCAGCCCCCTCCCCCAGGCAGTGCTGAAATGCCACAGGTGGGACTCCCCTACGGGGGTCCTGGCAGGGGCTCTTGCCATGTTGTACCACAGCCTTCACTGCAACACCAACTGCTGCTGTGCCAAGGGCACACCCAGCCTGGGAGGGTTCCACAGCCCCTCTGAGGTTCTGGCCAGTGCTGCAAATTCAGGATCCTTTCAAGGGTGGCTTTTTTCCTTGCACAGAATAATCAGGTGGAATCCCATGGATTTTTTTTTTTCCTTATGCCGGGGCTGAATTTGGCTTTGTGCTGTTCGGTAGCGAATAAAGTTATATGGTTAACAAGAAAGGGGAAAAAAGGGCTGTTTTTTCAGATAAAACAGAGTTGAAGAGAGGCATTTCACATGGGATGTCACAAGGCTGCACATAAGCTCTTGAGACATTGGGGATGTCTAGGACCAGGGCTGTGTAGGTGCCTCTTCCTGGAGCTGTCATCTCCTGGTGGCAGAGGCAGGTGTAGGGCTGGGCTACAGGCTGAGGCAGGGGCAGGAGATGCATGGAATGAGCAGCATAAACTGTTTCTCAGTCCTTCCCCTCTCTGCACTCCACTGTCTTCCCTTTGCCTCTCTCCTTGTGCCACAAGGACACAGTTCACATCCAGAAGGTCTCCTGAGCCAACATGGTGTATCATCCATGCTTTGGCAGCCTCAGGCAATGGTGCTTCCGAATAACAGAAATAACAGCTCCTCCTGAGCTTGCTGGGAGAGCTTCTTACCACGTGCAAATCCAGCCTGGCCCTTTGGGCTCTTATTTCTTTCCACACTTCTTCTTGAAGACAGCACATATGTGGTCCTGGGGAATGGTCTTTGTTTCAGAGGGTGACTAACAGCTGCTTAGCAAGAAGAGGCACAGGGTGGATTCAGCCTTGAGATCACTGAGGAAAGAGGTACCATGTGCTTTCGCTGGTGCCTTGAAGGCTCAAGACCCGTTTGTTTAAAGGGCTCTCAAGACAAAAGCATGAGTAATGCATTCTTGAACTGTAGCGCGGGCTGTGAGGGGAAGATGACGGTCCATGAGTGCATGACGTGCTTTTAGAGACAAAAGCCACCAGATTTTCGGCCTTGCTCCTTCTAATGAATCCCTGATGACTAATTCCATGATTGCCTCTTATCTACTCAATGAGCTTCTGTTCATAGCACAGTTCTTTCAGGAAATATTTTTTCCCCTGAGTTTTGGAAAAAGTATTGTAAAGTTGTGAGCTCCCTCACTCAGGAAATGATCCCCAGCATTTTGTGCCTTGCTCAGGATAATGGACTTTCGTGATTACTTTGCTTTTCCTTAATTTCAGTTCTGGAATTACCCATGACGAGCTTCACCAGGAAGCGCTGTTGGATCTGGGCAACCTGGTCTAGTGGAAGGTGTCCCTGTTCATGGGAGGCAGGCTGGACCTAGCTGATCTTTGGCATCCCTTCCAACCCCGAACATTCTGCAATTCTGTGATTCTGTAAAAGCCACCAATGGTAGGGACGACACACTGTGCTCAGTGCTCCAGCCCCGTCAGCACTACTGGTAGTTTTGCTGCATCTAACTTGCCTCTACTTACTGAAGTAGAAGCTTGTTTCTCTATTCCTGACCCCCACAGAAAATGGTGAGGAGAATATTCCTTCCCTTTTGCAGTAATTTTTTATCTGACTGGAAGACAATTATCACAACGGTGCTCTGTGCCTTCGCTGGAAATAATACCTTAGTCCATAGGCAGCAAAACGTTGAAGGCCACTGCTCTGCACTGACCAATGTTAAGCAAAGCTTTCTTTGTGGATGCAGTTTGTGAAATAATTCCAGTTTTCTGGGCCGCCTTCTGATTCTCAGCGTTTTTCTCCCAGCTGTCATTCACCATCCCCTTCCCAGGGACTGAGTGCAGCTGGGGGATGGCTTGGCAAGCTGTGTAACCACCTCTTTCTGCCTTCTGGCTTGGTTTGCTTTTTCTGCACTTGTGTAACACTTTTCACAAAAAAACAGTTCTGTCTTGCCTGATGCCAGTCTCCCCACAGTCCTGGGAACCAAGGCGTAATCCTGCATCTCCTAATGAAGCCATGGCATCTCCCCAGTCCCACACTCATTATGGAGCTCAGGCTGCTCATGCTGCCAGGCACAATTTCATGCCTGGCCAAACATAAACCATGCCTGGTCAGACATCTTGGGACTTAGGTGCACATCTTTAACCTGCCATTCACTTTTCCTGCCTCATTTAGCAAGAGGTACAACCCCTGTGCAGCTAGCAGAGAAAGCCCTACACTGACATTTCAAGACTCTCAAGTAGTATCAAGATGGCAAAAATACTACAACAGCCTTTTTTTCAGAGGTTTCTCTGCCTTACATGTTACTTCTTTTCTGGATAACATATTTGAATGACTTGGTATGAATTTACAAATATAAATGGAGAGTGCTACATTGAAAGAGTATTAGAGGCTATTTGCAGTGCTCTGTGTGACAGGGATGAAGGCAGGAAGACAAAGTTTATGTGCTCAGTATCCTCAGGCAGTAGACAGTTATGTGGCTGTGGGACTAGAGAAAATTCTTGTAGTTTTGTAAAGGTTATCTTAATCCACTTTTGCCACACAATAATGTACATCAGTCTTAACCTTTTCCCAGTACCGTTTTTTTATTGTAACAGTGATAGTAAATAGTTTAAATCAATGCTCTGTCAGCCTGACTGATCTCTTGCACAGGTTTTATGGGAGAGGTGGACCAGTCCCAGTGCTAATGTCACGTCATCATTAGCAGTATTATACAAAATTGTCCTGAAGGGATGGAAACAGAGGATGATACTGAGCAGAGCACTCCTGTATCTGCCCAGTACCAAGAGAGTGAAAACGACTGGCTTTGGGGCAGTAAATCCAACCACAACAAGATTTCATGGAGAAAGATGCAAAATACAGAAGACAAGTGTTTGCTAAACATCAGTACTTTGGAGAAGTGTGATATATAATCACCAAAGTCGCTAAACCTAAAACTAATACAACTTTACTTTTCAGCCATCCCTGAGATAATAACGCTCTGGCACCTCTTTTCATGCCAGCTGTGTGTGCTGGGCAGTGTCAGGCCACATTGCCCAGCTCATAAAGTGGACGGAATATTGCAATCTGCTTCTCACTGATCATCTTTAATATTTTCACCCAATTGAGGGTTCATTTCTGAAAGATACCATGACAGGGAGCTAAACATTATAGTGGTGCTGCACTAAAAGACTTTTTTCAGGAGTATTTTGACTGATTGATTAGGAGCCTCAGCTCAGGGACAGCCTCCTGGGCATTCACTGCAATGTTTTGGTACTCCTCCTTTCTTGCTTTGTGTGAGCTTGTTTTGCATATCTTCCTTCCAGGAAAGGGAACTTCACAGAGCAAAACTGATGAAATGATGGTACCCAAAGGCTGGTCTCAGATGGTAAATGTCAGCCCATGTACCCTGACTGCAGGCACTGTTCCCTTGCTTTTCACCCCAAACCAGAAACAAACAGTATTGTGAAACAGCAGAGACCTCTGAAACAAAAAAAAATGTCTTTCACCACCCACACAATACTGTCGGCTGTGCCAAATCTGCACATCCCTCCCCCGCCCCCCCAAATGCATTGTTCACCCCTAAGAAGCTAAGTCTGGAGAGAGTTTGGTTCTTCCATTTAGTTGGATACTTTTGAGACAGCTTGATTCACCAGAGGATGCATCTGCATAATGTAGCTTGGGTCTTTGGGGATAAAAGTAAGCTCTGTGTCCTGGAGGGAATGTAACTGTGTGCTGGGGTAGGAATGGGTATGATGGTGTTTTTCTTCGCTGAGAAACAACAAGTAGGAGGAGGTAACAGGGTGATAATAATTGAGCTCCTTGGCACTTTCCTACAAGAGCAACATATTTCACATTTAAAAGCCCTGAGAGGCCTTTCTTCTCTTGTTTTTGGAATGTGAGATGTGGCGTAATGAACACTGGATGTTTTACAGAAGACAGCTGGACAGCAGCAGCTCATTTTGGAAAGCACACAGTCCTTCTTCTCTCCTTGTTTAACTGGCTCTAGGGTCTGCTCTGCAGCCCAGACCAAGCATCCCCCTGCCCAGGGAGACCCTTGCTTCTCACCCATCCTGGATCTCCCTCTCCACTTGGACAGCTGTTGGGGCAGGACAGGGACTGAACCATAGTCTCGTCATAATGGAGTTAAACTGGTTTGCTCAAGAGCAGGCAGCTGGAGAGCAGCAGCCTGGAGGAAGTCAGCTCTGTGCCTGTTACTGGCTTACAGAATGCCAGGCTGCAGGATCTGAGTGTCCCAGGAGAGGCTGTGACGAAAGGCAGGCCATTGTGCCCAGCTTTCCTCCATGACTCCAGGGTAGCAACTTGTTTTTATTAGAAAACGGAAGCTGAGCTCCATATCTAATCCCAGGGCCAGGCATCTGGAGGCTGAGGAAAGGCTTTGTGAAGCATTTGCCAGTCAAATAATAAGATTGAAAACCCAGTATACATTTAAATAATACACTTGGGAAAATGTCTGTGCCACAGATGCCCTGTGTTAGGCGCTTGGATGAGAGATGCATACAGGACAGAGGGAAATTTCTAATGCACAAAAATTCCCACTGAGGCTTTAGTGCTTCAAATCCAGCACTCCACTGAAGTTCTTAGAAGTTTCTGACTGAGTATGTAAAAGTAGAAATCTTTTTGTTTCTGCCATTTAGTCAATGCTTTTAACAATAAATGTTAATCTCTCAGCACCAGTGTCCTTCCCCTCTGCTGGGATGGGGGATGTAGCTCACAGATCCATGAGGGGTGTAATCCAATGCTCCCTGATTCACCATGACCCCAGGACAGGAAAGGGGAGCTCCAAAGTGTTCCTGAGCTCTGCACATCCAATGGGAGATGCATATGATATTTTACTTCTCCTTCTCCATAGCAAATACAGAGAGTCACCAAGCTGAGAATTTGCAGGAATTGTCATGAGCTGTATTGAAGAAAGATGCAGGACAGAAAATTCCTTCCAGGATTTTCTGTCTTAAGCTGTCAATTTGTACCTGATATTTCAAAGCCATCTTTAGAAAACACCTTATCTTTACTGTGGAGGTAGCAGGTTTGTCTTAGAAAAATTCTCATAGGATGATTGTGAATTAAAGCTGCACTCTTTATTTCTCGTCCATCAGAACAGCTCCCTTGGCCTGTCACCAGTGCCTGCTGCTCACCCAGGCTGAAATTTATACTGGTGCAACCCGAAGCAAAGGAAATGAAAGTCTCATTGCTGGTGCTGTAGACAAATTAGTGTTCAAGGCTATGCCATGTCCACATTTATCAGATTAATTGATAGATCATAAATACATCTCTGTAAAGTCTCAGATTTATTGCTGTGGAGGGCAACCTAAGGATAAATTGAATTAAATAAAATCAGATTTGTACATCTCTAGGCTGCTGGATATCTCTTTTAGTCTCCCCTGCAGATGCTGGATGTGATGCTTTGGATCACTCATGGTGTTAAACCAATGGTGTTCCATGCCCATCAGTGGGTGATGCTGGCTTACACCAGATGAGGATCAGATCTGTAGCACTATGTCTGTCCACCTCACATTTGGTTTCATACTGCAGTCAGATTGTACCAGATTTGTTAAAATATGTTTAAACATACAAGAAAATGGACTAGAGGCATGATGACCCTTTTCCTCAGGTCAAGGAGAACTTGGAGCTTCACTCCACATGGCACATCCGATCCAGACATGCCTGTCCACACAAAGAGGCTATGATGGCATGAACAGATCTTCGGTCCAACAGGAGTTTCCCAAGGCAGCCCATGAGTGAGGAAAATCTGCTGAAATGCCTGAAGGGCCACCAGGGCCATCCTGGAGGGCAGAGTAGTCCATGTGCTACATGTCCCACCTGTGGGGTTTGCTTACCCAAAGTTTTCCTCCTCAGGCAGGTAGTGGTTTCTGGCATCAGGTCACAATGTCACAGCCTTGCATCATACCAGCTTGGCCAGCTGGTTCACAGTGGAGGAAATAAGACTTGGGTGCTACCACATCCCTGCCCAAGCTCTGCCCCTTGATTGCTCATGGGTACTAATTACAAAGGAGGCTCTTGCTCTGCTGCTGTATAATTATGCAAAGCACCGTCCGAGCCTTAATATAGCTCTGAGAGAACTGCTTTTGGTTTTCTCTGAGGAGAAATTTAATTTTGGACCAAACAACAGAGCAGCCTCCCAGCAATAGAATCTGTATGGAACGTGAGGTAGACACGGTGTCTGAACTGGAGCTGCTTCCCAGGGGCTCTTGCAGGAGGTTGGTGTCTCAGTGCCTCTGTTGCCTTTGGGTTCTGAACTCAGGGTAGCAAGTTCAGAAAACTGCTTCTTTCTCCGTGGCAATCAAATATTTGGGTTTGCAGAGGAGCAAGGGAGGGTAGCAGATTTTGGATCATGTGTAGAGGCAGCGTAGGAGGCGGGAGGATGCTGACTGCTGTTCTGGTTCTGTTTTAGAAGCAGCATATGACCACCGGAACGTCAATTTCAGCGAAGAGTGTGTTGCCCTCTCCTCCACTGGAGCTTTCCAGCACATGGCAGACTTGACGAAGAATTGCCGCTCTCCTGGTGCGCCCCAGCCCCCGGCGCGCGAGGATGGCCAGGATGTGGTCCTTCCTGAAAAACCAAACACGACCTTGCTCAGACCTGGCAGGCAAAACCAGCCCAAAAGGTAACAACCAACAACCATGCAGGAGATGGAGCAAGGACACAGCAAAGTGCCAGGGACCGTCCCCTCACCATGCTGGAGGAGCCACCAGGAGTTGGGTCTCCAGCTTATGGAGGTATCAAGCCAGTGAACATCAGCTCCTGCCACACCGCACTGGTGGGACGCCCTCCTGCTGGCTAGTGCGTCAGGGAATTTCCTCCTCTGTCTCCACACACACGTGATGCCTATTTCAAGTTTTCCTGAGAGGCTGCAGACCTTTTGTTTAATGGTTATTTTGAATTGAGTAATGGAAGTGCTAATATTTAGGAAGTTGACAGGCACCAATTAGATTAGAGCTGGGAAGCCAACTTGGAAACATACCCTGTTCCAGTAATCTCAGTATATACAAATTCCTCAATGTCTCTGAGAGCTCAGGGGAAGAATTAAGAGACCTGAACAGGAAGCAATGCAGGTCCAGCAGGTTCCACCCCGTTTTCCAAACTTGATTGTTAAAAATAGTATTACTCAATAATGGAAAGTCAATAATTAGATAAATCAAGAGGACGAGCCTTATTACCACAAATTACAGCCTTGTAAATGGCTTTTCTGAGTGGAAAATTGTTTTCAAACAGCCATCATTGATGACTAGGCATAATTTACCTCCCCCATCCTTCCCAGAAAAGGCACTGCCTCCTTCATCAGCTTAATCTGGCCACTGAGATCAAACCTTTTTTTTTTTTAATAGGTGTGTTCACCTAGGAAATTACTCAGGAACAATTTTTTTTTTCATGTCCGTGTCTTGAATTTCCCCACACAGATAAGCCTGAAGCATATCTGACCCAGTAAAGTTAAATCTAGTTATGAAAAATTTTGAGCTGCAGCTATGGGGAAAGGAAAACAGATTTAATGTGATTTTTTTTTCTCAATATTTGAGGGTCCACTTCAGCGTTCTGAGCAATTAGTTGAACTTATGGTTTGTTTTGATTGTATAAATGCCATCCATCAGAAAGAGTGTAACTCTGTACAAAAGCCTTCGGGTTTTTTTCCTGAAATTACTCTGGTGAAATGGAGTTTTCTGCAGTCTGTACCACTGATATTCATTCTCAGTTGTTGGTAGAAGAGCTGTAGAAGAGGAGGTAACTTCTGATTTAGTTGGCAGCTGTTTAGCCACGCACAGAGCCAGTCACTTTGTTTACTTTTGCAGTTTTAAATTTTTCAGATGCAGCTTTGGGACAACAAACGGAAAGTATAAAAGAAAGAATATGTAATTTATTCCAAAATTTAATGGTTGTGTTGAGGTCATTTCAGAAACCACAGCTGATCTCCATCAATGGCTGCCTCACTTCGAGGTTTGAGCCTCGGAAGAGGAGACAAAGTATTTGCTTAAAATCTGGAGCCTACAAATTGGCAAACTGGGCTGATATTGGTGATGCACTGAAATCAAACCAGAGCTTTACCGTGAAATAAGGTTCATTTGGAGCAAAAAAATAGAATTCAGTGGTAGGATGCATGGGAATATTGAAAGCTGTGTCAGGGGAGTTCTAGACTTGACATTAGGAAGCATTTCTTTACTAAGAGGAATGTCCAACAGTGGAACAGGCTTCCTAGAGAGGTGTTTGGTGTCCCAAGCCTGTCAGCACTTAAGAGGCATTTGGGCAATGCCCTTAACAGCTTGCATTGACTTTTGGTCAGTCCTGAAGTGGTCAGGCAGCTGGACTGGATGACTGTAGTAGGTCCCTTCCTAATAGACTAAAACAGTCTATTCTATTCCATTCCATTCCATTCTAAAATGAAAAGGCTTTGAAGTTAATTTGTGTGCATCATAAGATCTAGCAGACAGGGGAAAAAAAGAGAAAGTGTACAGATATAAAGAGAGAAAAATAAGATAGGATTCCCACTGTTGCTGGCACCCTGACCTCTAACATATGGCTACCAACAATGAGATGAAGAGCTCGGGATGGAGCCCAACAGTTCTGGCATCTGTTGTTTTGTACCTGATATCTGGATAATTCTGACACAGCTTCTTGACATACACCTTGATCTTGTCCTTTTTCTTCTCTTTAATGATCTTGGCAATGTGATGTATGGCGGGAACAAGCCAGTCGGAGTCAGAGCCCTGTGGATGAAGAGGCACATGGGGATGTCAAGGGGGAGAGCAGCACCTGCTAAATGCCTTTTTCCCTACAGTGCAGAGCTGGGTGTAAGGCAGAACTGCTGCAGGCAGGACAGGCTGCCTCCAGCAGGCAGCAAGGTGCCAACAAGCAGTTCCCCTGAGGCCGGACTTTGCCCTTCCCGGTGCTCATGAGCATCCCAGGAGTCAGACCCTGGTCAGGGCACTGTGGCTGTGGTCTAGCACACAGGCAGACACCAGACTTTACCTCCTGCTGCCTAGTAATTTCATGTGCCTTATTTTTGAGAGGGGATTTAGTGCCCTGGATGCCTGACTTTCTGCAAAATCCAATGAATTCAGGTTTGGCTTCCCTGAAAATCACAGACTGATGTTGCTATGAGAGACTGAAATGTTAAAGTTAATGACTCAAATAATCAGACGATTTCAAAAGTGGCAGGGTGCTGCTTTGCTGAGGCCAGGTTTGCACCCAGTTTTTGGGTGTGTGGTGGCAAAACCTCTGATCTGTGTAAGAACAGCCCAGGCGCAGAGCGCTTGAGCACCCACCACTGGAGGGTGACCATGACAAACTAACCTTTTTTTAAGCAACAAGGTGGTTTTTGAGCCAGATAAGGAAAAAGCCAACAGGAAGGAGATCTTGTGAGGTGGAATAATGTTTTTTATCATGCCAATTTCCTTCTTTACACAGCTGGTTCATGTGTAAAACTCCCCCTTCATGGGGAGGTATTGGGACATTCACACATATCTCTTCTGATAAGGCATAACTGGCTCAACTACACAGGTGTGAGAAAGAGCAGTCGTGTTTTAGAAGGGGTCATGAACCATCAAAGACCCCGAAGCTCCTCCAGACTCATTTCTGGGGCCTTCCAACATAAGACTGCATATTATCCACAGCGTTATATCAGACAGTGAGAAAATCCTGCCCCCTGCCATCCCCCCCGGGAGGTACCTGGGCATTCCCACCTGAACCCATTAAACCCATTGCAGCCTTCTCCCACCTCAGATAGATCAAGACTGCGACCATCACTTCGACCAACAGGCATCTAAATTGTGACAATCAAGCCTCATCGCTGGATCCATGGGTGATGATATCTTTCCTCTCCACTATCTACTCTTATGCTTTCTTTCTCTTTCTTCCTTTCCTTTACATATTTTCTTAAGTGATATTTTTATACCTTTATATTGTTATATTACTATAGACAATAACCAAAATGGCTACATCCCTTATTTCCATTGCAATCAAATTGTTCTAAAATAAACCTGCCACATATATATATATATTTATAAACACTGGTAATTCAGTATTGTTTCACTCTAATCTGCCCCAAGGGATCTATTAACAAGAACCTCAGTTACCTCACCTTCACAGATGGGTTGTAACATTGGCCTAGCCACAAAACATGCAAAGCTGCCACTGCAGAGAGGCTGGTGGGCTGGAAGCCCACACCATGAACCTGCAGTAACAACCTCACTTGCTCTCTTTTAAGGACTTCTATACTTCTTGAGGCTTGGCCTCCTCAGAAGCCTGCTGCCTTTGTCTCTGGGAAGCCAAGTGGAAATATTGTACCTCTGGGAATGGGCCAGGAGAGAACTCACATACCTGATCAATGAGAGTATTATGAAAGATTCTGGCTTCCAGGTCCATCTTTTTGCTCACTTCTTGCCGTGTCTCCCTGTTCATTCTCCATCTGTGTTTGATGACCTGTGTGATATATTCCTTTACCACATATCTATGAACTTCACGTAGAAGCTCCTGGATAAAAAAAACAAACCTCATAGTTTTTCTGTGGTTCCCATACAAGGCCAAGGCAGTGAAAGAGGGGAGGGAAAGCTCTTAGGTCTTTAGCAGCACCTGAGGACATAGAGGAGGTACATGAAGGCAACACACCATCAGCACATGCTGCCCAGGCTGGCCCTGATGAAAGGAATCAGTGGCTTACAGTCCCTTGCTCTGGCACAGAGCAGTGGCTGCACCCAAGGGAATGCCATGGAAATACTCCTCACCCTGAAATAGCCCGCAATTTTGTGTTGGTAGTTTGGGTTCTCAGTAGCAAAGGGGGATATTTTGGATTGCTTTAAAAGCCAGTTTTAATGGTGCTTGCAGATTTTAAATACAGAGCAGTTGTCACCTATCTCTTTATTTCACAACTGCATAGATGTGAAAGGAGCACATAAGCCTGCAACTCATGGAATTGCAATGTTCAGAGGCAATTGTCATGGAAGCTTTCTGTTCCTCTTTAAACAAAATCAGTTTTTGTATTTGAACTACAGGAAGGAAAGTTGTTCTTTAATTCACATGTGGAAGTATAGTAATATCTGAACTCCTTTGCATATGCAGTTCCCACAGTTATAAAGAGCAACCACCACTGCAGAGGAGTCTGCAGGTCTGACCACAGCCTGAAAAGGACATTGTGACCCTCCCCAGCATCGCCGTGCCCAGGTGTGGGATCAGTGGCCTACCTGACCCGTGGGCCTCCTCATGTGCTGCAGGTGCTCAGAGAACTGCGAGACTGCTGACGCCAGTGAGTCCGGCCTTCCTGTATCCAAAATCCAGTCCTTGGTCAGGATTTTCTTAAGGAATGGCTGAAAAAAGACCAGCTCACTGATGGCACTGGTAACATTCAGATTAGCTGATGCCCCAGCTGAAGGCACTCAGCTGTACACCTGCTGGCTTAAAACAAAAATCACAGAGCACTGATGGCACACTCCCTCTGCAGGAAGACACACCCAGGGCACAGAGCAGGGTGAGTTTCTCTCTCCACCCTAGCGAATTCAGACACCTTTCAGTCTCCCCTTTCTGGGTAGGCATGCCAGTGCAGAGAAGAGAAGCATCGCTCCCCGAGCAGATGTTTTGGCATTAAAGGCTTACTTGAGATACCTCATTTCTTTTCTCTGTGCCACCTTCTGACCCACCAGCTCTATTTCTTTGGGTAGATGAATTTGTATCCCTACTGCATAGGTGAAGAAACAGATGTGAATGTTAATCACGGAAAACTCAGGCATGACTAGAACAAGCTGTGGTGTGCAGTCATGTATGTTACTGTTACTTGGGTTTGCACCAGCTATGGAAATGACAGGTCACTTGGGAGTGAATCTGTTGGAAATTAGCCCAGTAATTCATCACCCCTACAGCCTTGTCCACAAAGAAATCAAGTTCCTCATGTTCACAGCCCTTCCAGGAGGCTATCTGTACTCCTGCAGACCTGCATGAAGTCTCACTGGGATTTTCCTTCTGCTCATTGGTCTAATGTGATGGGAGGGGAATAGCAGCTGGGAGCATCTCCAGCTTGATGCCTCATGATCAGTGATGACATGGGAGTTATGGCAGTCTCACATCAGTCCTGGGTTCACGGTACTCTGACCAAGTATTCTCAGTGGGTTATTGTCCTTGCTGGGTCCCTAGACTTAATGTGCCTTCACACAGAAACACAGCAATATCTGCTAAAGACTTCTGGAAGAAACTCCCCTAAGGGCCAAATGCAAAATATCCCTTCTCTGGCACATCCTCTTTGTACTTTTCTCCTCTTAGCTCTCGGGATCTCTGGCTTTAGACTCCTGGCAATCTCATTCCCAATTGTTTCCCCCTCCTTGTGCTCTCCTGCTGTGCTCCCAGCATGCTGAATCATAGAATCATAGAATCAGCCGGGTTGGAAAAGACCTACAAGAGCATCAAGTCCAACCCTTGATCCAACACTGCCATGGCTACCAGACCATGGCACAAAGTGCCAAAAGAGCTGTTTAGAAATGCTTTGCCTCAGCCTCTCTCAGTTCTCACATTTCGGGTCTCTTGCTCAATGCCTTGGCTTGACTCCTTTCCTTGCCTGTCACTTAGGCTCCAAGACAAGATCTATAGTCACTGGAAAGTCCCCTTGGCCAGGCAGACTGGGCTTAGGTTGCATCAGTTCCCATGACTGCCTTGGTTTTTGAAAGTTATGTTTGGGGATTTAGAAAGTGAATGAGGTTGAGTGAAAAAGGATGTGACCAAAGGCTTGATTTGCCTCATCTCTTGTATTATACCAGCTAGAGCTAGTGGGCCCCAGCTGGCTGAGACCAGAAAGTCCCACCTACAGCACCTGGGAAGCACAAACTTCATTGCAGCACATTGCATTGCATTTTAGGCCTCAACACAAGTTAAGCTGATATCAGAGCTTTATCAGCTGATACCAGAGCTTTAGCATCCTCATGCTGGAAAAATCAGCCTTTCTTCACCATGGGAACAGGCTGGAAAAAATCACCTCTACCAGAATTAATTATGTCCTATCTGAAGAGGCTTCTTACAGACCATGATGGCAGATCAACGAATCAGTAAGAATAAATCAAAGTCCTGAGAAATCAAAACGTTTTAGTAGAAGAAAAAATGTCTCATTGGTGGTGTTCAGCTGACTTCCCCTGCGCCTCATTATGGGGAAGGTTTTTCCCTACTGCTTTGCCTGAGATACTGGAAGCCACTAAATATCCTTTTCATTTGATTGTTGTAAACAGCTTGACAAAGGTATCCTTGTTCAAAGCAAAAAACTCCCAGGATGCCAGAAGTGTTGCTTTGAGTTAAGGAGGATTTCTACAGGAGTGTTAGGCTTGATGCATTTTGGAGGGACCATAATGTCATGCGCTGCAAAATGAGGTCTAGTTGGTGAGACAAGGGAAGGACAATGGCTCTCAGCTTCTGCAGTGGTCCTGCACATACCCCTTACATTGAGGAAATAACATGGCCAAGATCCTCTTACCTGTGTTTTTGTTTTTAATTTCGTTAGAAAAATATTCGTGAAGTTCCTTGTCAGAGCTGCCAAAATCTTCTGCAGTTCCTCAGTGTCGACTTCAAACTCTGTTTCTAACCCTGACCTACAGAGAGAGAGAGAACACCAGTGAGTTGATGTTAAAATGTAAACTATTACAGTGCCCTAAGCATTTTATCTGGATTGGAATGTTGGATATTATATTTAAATAAACTTTTGTTTGTAGTACTTCCTCTTGGAAACACTTTATGGGTCAAAGTAATGGCTCCTTTTGCACAATCCTGTGCACTGAAAATGAGTCACAGCTGTGACTGTGCTTAAAAACCCCACAGATTTCCTCATCAGGTGGGATGGTGCAGCCATGCGGAGCAGTTGCATAGGCTGGTTGCTCTTTCACTTGAGCAACACCTTTGCTAAATGGTCTGCAAGTACCTGGGAGAGCACTGAGGGGCCGTGGGTGAAGAAAGAAGTAAATAATAAAGCCAGAGAAGGGAAAATTGCTGAGCCTGTGTCCCCCAGAGCCCATTTGAGTCACTCCACGCAATGTCTATCATCAGCAGCTAGGATGGGGACTATGGGTATGGAAACCTGTGGAATTTCCGAAGGACAGTGCGTACTTCTGCAAGGTTTCACCCCATGAGGAAGAAAACACAACTTCTGAGAGGTTAAGGGAATCCCCAGCGTGTGTGTGAGCTTTGGGGGCATTGTGTGCTCCTGTCTTTCTTCTCACTTTCCATTCCCATCCCACTGTAACACACTTTGGGGGGGTGGGGGGTGGGGGAACTGAGGAAGCAAGGCAACACCAGTAGTGCCCGAGCTTCCATGGATGTGCCATATCCACTGCTGTGACCACGGAGAGCGGCAGGTTCCTGCCTCTGCCCAGACTTTATACGTCTGAGGTTGCCCAGGCAGGACTATAAAGCACTCAACAGCATCCCTGTCATGCCAGGCTGGAGCTCAGGGCTGCAACTCCCATTGAATTCTGGGTCCGGCATGCAAAAAATCATGCTGTTAGGTCATCTAGCTCTGCCCAGCACTCATCACCTCAGGCTGATGAATAGACAGCTTGACTCAGGAATAAACCCAGCAGAGCCAATCCGCCACCCAAACGCTGCCAGCTCCCTGCCTGGGGCTGTCGTCTCCCTTCACCCCCTCGCCAGTCTCCAGCAGGGAAGGGGAGAGCAATTTTCCACAGGGTCAGGAGGAGGCAGTGAAAGCCAGCTCCTCGGCGAGGTTAGCATTGCTGGAGAGACCGTGCCATCTAGAGACTTCCCTACGGTAGTGCTCATTGCGGCTGGAGCCGTCGGCTCCTGCGAGACACCGAACACGAAATCCTCTCCATCCCCTCAGTAATGTTTGGCATTTAGCATCCTCACAGGAGGCAGTGCCAGGCAGCAGTGCAGCAACATGAGCTGGAGATCACAACCCAAGCTTTTTGGTGGCTAGAGCCCACGCATTATTCCTGTGCTGTTTTGCTGGGTTGGCCTCTGAAGCACCATATCTGCATGGCAGAGATGACTCCAGATGCTGAAGAGCCCCTGGGCCTCGGTGGGCCATGTCCCTGCATGGCTGCAGACCATCCCCCTGGGGCAGGCATATGAACAGCACCTGTATTCCATGGAACTGGCACTGGGAGGGGCTGTGGCAGCTGTGTAAGCGGCTGCAGAGTGGGATGTGCAAGGTCATCATGTGCCACAGCACTGGGCTGAGGGACCAGACCCTGGGACATGCGCTCGCTGGCACCATCCTACTTATGGGGAGAGGGATAGTCAGATCTCTGATAGTCAGCACTGACGATACCTGTTCCTCAGAGGCACTTTTCAACCAGTGGCTTGAAATAACTAATTCATGCAAAGCCCTGGAAGTTCCAGCTGCCAGATGCAATGGTAGGGGTTTATTTTCAGGTTCAGTGCTTTCATAGGGTTTCCTCCAGCCCAGTGCCAAAGGCAGCCTTGAGACCGTGTTTCTGGGTTTATACTGCTAACCTCCAGAAGAAAATGTGGAAAAACCCCTCCTCTGAGGCTGAAAACGAGTTTAAAACTTTCATGCAAGCACTGCATCTGTTCATGTTTCTGTCTCTTCATGCCTGTGACTTTTATCTGCATCCCTTGGTGAAAATCCTCCTGTGAGGTTAGAAGGGCTGGAGACTGAGCACCCAGCAGGGCACCCCAAGGAGACCTTGATCCTTCCTTTACAGATGCTGTTACCCTCCCAGACCCCAAAAACGTGGCATTTCAGCTCAGGGGGAGTGGACTTACATTAGGTCGTGGAAGCTGTTGATGTAGGCAACAACATAGGGTGCAAAGATGGGGCTGTCCTGGGCAGTGCTCCAAGCCTTCTCAAACTCCTTCTCAAACCTGTAAGAAAAGACACTCGGGTAACACTTAGTGGTGGGGGGACTGAGGATGGCTCATCTTCTGTGTACGTGGTGATGTCAGGAGACACCCATGGCTGGCCCAACCTGTCCCCTCTGTATGCAGACGTGTTTTTTCCAGCTGTCACAACATGTGTGTGCATTGGAGGAAAATAGATGGCAGATAATTACAGGTTTAGGATGCGCTTGCCTGAGCAGGTACAGAGCACTTTTGGAGAGATGCCAGGGATGTGGGCAGGCCAACTCTTACTTTTCCTCATGCTGAGGGTTTAATTGCAGCTGTGGTACTCAGGCTTGTAAGTCTGGACCTTCATCTTGCTGGCTTTTGGGACAATATATTATGTGCCTTTTTAAGCACAACACAGGCAAAGGATTTACCTGAGGGCTGATTTAAAACAGAAGGTGAATAGAAACAGGGTAGCACATCCGACTTTTCTTCCTCCTGACCTCAGTGTCGGGTAGCTTTTTTTTTGTGTAGCACAGGTTCTATGGGTTTCACAGCTGTTTTACAGACAGGTCTGTGCTGATGACAGGAAGCTGTGTGCTCAAGAAGGCTTTGTTTGATGGTCCCATTCTTTGTCAGGGTAAAGAGATCTGCTTAGGCTGGCCTCAGGCACTTGTATCTCAGGTTTGTTTCCATAAAAGCTTAAGTTTCAGTGGTCCTTTGAGAGCTATTGCTGCCCTGGTTTGAATTGTACAGTATTTAAAAAAAAGAATAAAAAACCCAATAAAAAAATAAAAGGAAAAAATAAAAGAAAAATAATTAAAAAAATAAAACAAAGAAAGAGGAAAAGAAGAACAAAGAAAAAAGAAATAAAAGAGAAAAATAAGAAAAATGAGGGAAAGAAAACGCCAGAACATCACTGCCTTGTTTCTCCTCAAAAACCCAGACAGACTTCAAAGCCAAATAGCTGGTTTGAACTACCGTGCTCGCTCAGGGCATGGGAGAGAAGTGTAGATCACTGGGCTACTAGAGATGAGGGTTTAGAAGGGAAAGTGTTGCCTTTAGTGCAATTTGGACCCCTGCCATGCCCCAGGTTCATGACGGGAGAAAGCAGTGCTCAGGCTCCCCACCCATGCTCCTGCAATAGCAAACTCCACACTTGGTGCCTGCTGGAGGTGGGAAACTTCAAAGGTTAATGCAAAATTATTTTTAGTCTTGCTCATAGTTGATTCACGTCAAACAGCCTTTCTCCTCCGCAGATTGCTGCTCCGGCAAACATCCATGGATGTCCCAAATACAGCCCTGACAGGGGCATCAGACAATGTGTCATTGTACTGGGACCCTCTGCAAGCCTAAAACCTTCCCTGGAGCATTCCCAAAGCATGTTGCAGCAGGTAAGAACTGAGGCCATAACGTGGAGACTATCAAGTAAAAAAACCATTATTTCAGCAATCTCCCTTGGACACTGGGTGAATTTCAAACAGACTCAGAAGGCAGCCCAGCTGTATGTTTTGCCCAGGTGTAGCAGAGAGGGTCTCACCATCCATTTTTATGCCCAAAGACATGGGAGGTCAGAGAAAACCCTCTCAGCAGGACTCACCCTAGGGCGCCCAGATGATGTTTTGGGCAAACAGGCTTTGGGTCTGAGGGGTCCATAATTGCTGCTTGCTCATGGCTGAAGCTGCAAGTGACCAGCATCTAATGCACAAAGGTCCTGGATGGATGTGATCACGGTGGTACCATCCCTTCCCAGACAGCAGCTCCTTCCTGGAGCTCTGGCATTAGATTCTAAGACTTGCAAGAGTCCTGTCTGGATCTATTTATGACTCCCTCCAGATTGTTCTGCAGCTTGCTTGTTATTTGGCTCACTGTAATCTTTAATTCTCCCAAGAGCAGACCTATACCTGCTTGATGCCAGCACCTGGTCCAGTGCACAGACCTTTTCCCTGCGTTTTTACAAGTGTGAGACTCATTTGAAAAGAAAGTACTGCCAGGAGTGGTAATGACCTTGGTATAAATTCAAGCAGCTCTGTCATGCACAGCTCAAGCATTTTTGTTTCCAGGCTTCTGCTGATAGCTCCAGATAACTTCATGTGCTCCCCGATGATCTAGAAAAGGGCACAAAAAAGCTCCAGTGAATGGAACAGACATGGGAGAAACATCCTTTCCAAGGATCTCATGCAGCTTTGGTTAGTAAGGATGGCTCGCCTAGCAAAGGGACAAACAGTCAACTTGTTGCCAGGAGATTTTCATTATTCTCTGGCAATTTTAAAAATTATAACACAGAATGGGCCAAGAAGCACCGATTGATTTGTGATATAATCATTCATCCCTAATTGCTTCATGTCCTTTTGCTGTCTGAGTGTGAGTTAGAGGCGGTATTGGCTGGAGCTCCAACCTCACCGAGTGTCATCCTCCTCTTTTGGGGGGTTTCTGGGAGGGATCAATCGGCAACCCAAGGGAAGCTGAGCGGTTCCCATGCATGACCCCATGATAAGGATGACTATAAGCCCCATCCCTAGAGGCTCACACAAGTCCCATTCTCAGGAGTGATAACAGGGCAGCACAGAGGGTCAGGCACCACCCTGAAGCCTTGTTTGCACTGGGACTCCTCCTGGATTGCCATTCCCACAGTCCTGGCTGCACCTCCAGAGTGAGGCATGTTGTAGTCCCATTCTGGTGCTTCCCAAGGCCTCCTATCCATCTGCTAATCCAATTCAGACCTGCCTTCCCCACGATCACATAATGTGTAATATTTCTCTAAGGAAAAATAGTCATGGCAGCAGGCAAAACTCTTTGATTTTCTTTTTCTCTCCCTCTCTTTTTTGTTAGTATTATTTAATTGAAGTGACTCAACCAATTGAGTGAGGAGAATGAATCCAAACCCCTCCTGGATTTATTACCCTGTAGCCCCTAAACCTAGTAGGAGCTTTTGTTTTTTGTACTGTTTAAATTGGAGTGGCTGTTACTGCCTACGGCCTTTCCACAGCTTCCACAGCCCCGGGACAAAGTTGTTCTTTAAGCCAAGGGGTTTTTTCTAACAAACCTTTTCTTTCCATCTTTTTTTCCCTTTCTCTTTCTTCTTTCTAATCAAAGAGGCTTAGGGACTTTAAAATCAGTTGCCTATTATGTTGCTGACACAATTGACAGCAGGTTTAATTTGCAGCTAGAAGGCAAGCGGGAGAGCCAGAAGTTGTAATAAATGTCATTTTCTGCTCTAATGTATTCTACCAGTGCGTGACTTACATAAATTATGGCAGGAGGCAGTACCTCGACCCCAGAAGGTAACGATTCAGTTTCCCTGGAGCCACAGAGCCCCCCCCCAACATTACCCCAGCTAATTAAATACCGTTTGAATATCAAAGGAGAGCAAGGCGTGGTAGAGGTTTTCCTCCACTTCTGAATGAACTTCCTTCTCCCACTTCTCTGTGACCTCTAGTCTCAGGATGTTTCCAAAATAACTTTTGATTTTCTCCTAAATGTTAAACGTAGGAAGGAAACATGCAGCTCAGGATAAGGAAGCAAACATGAATACAGAGGCTCACTGCATTTTGCTCCATTGTCACGTGTGTAAGGTTCACGTGCACAGCATGGAAAGGTAAGCAGAGTCACAGGTGTTGCTCCAGTCCTGTCAGTCTAAACAGGATCTCAGGAGAAATCAGGAGCTGTGCTGTGTGTGGGCAAGGTACTCTCATATCAAAGGAGAGTCATTCTCCTGGCAGGAAATAGTATGTCAGCTGTTTGCTTGATTACAAAGTCCTCCAGCGCATGGAATGCACCAGGTCAGGATTAAAGATCAAATCGGTCCTCTCCAGAGGTACAGCCATTCAAGTAACCAGCAGCAGTGTTCAGTCCTGGCTGATAAATCAATCTTGTTGCCGGTGAAACAGTGAGCTTTCACCAGCATGGTGGAGCAATACTGATTTCATTCAGCTGGGCACCTTGAGCTCACCTTGATCAGTGCCCTGTTTCAGAAACGGTTTGCAAGAAAATGACTGAGCCCAGCAAAAAGCCAGGAAAGCTTGTAGTCTTACAAAGGGTGCCAGCAAGGACTGCAGAAAAACAACTGCAGAAGGAGCTTCCTCAGAGGACATGAACCATGGGGGTGCCTTCTGGGGGGGATGCCAAAAGTTGTCTGCCTGTAGCAAACCTCAGATGTGCTGGAGAAGATCCCACACAGTGACAGTAGCAGCTAAAATGCCTTTACACCTGGCTTTGCAGTGCATTCAATCTGATAAAGCCCAGCTACAACCTTTCATTAAGCCTCTGCCACACTGTGTGGGTCTGGTACAGTCCCTTTGACTCAGCTTGGGTCCCTGAGTTGGTGTTCAGGACCTTCTTGTTTTTCATTAAAGGCCATTCTGTGCGGTGCTGGCAGGACAGCAGCTGGTGGGGCTAGAAACCACAACATGGTCATCCAAGACCTGTGCCAGGGAAGCTGGGGCTCCTGTACCTTCCCTGAGGGGGCATGTGGGGACTAGGTCAAAGCTCTTACCTTTGCAGAAGCAATGTAGTTGTTTTTCAGTTTATCCCAGTCAGCTGGTGTTAACAGCAGGGACAGGTTTTCTGTCTTAACCTCTGGTTTGAGATCAGGGTGACCTAGAAAGAGTTCACTGGAAAGATTCAAATTAACAAATTATATTGCCTCAGAGTGTGAATAAACTGATGGAATATTCATGCAGCATGAACTACGTAATTATTAAGCCATGAGAAATATACTTAAAGCTTAAATTGTGATGCCTGTTTTCAAGATTTAACAAGAAAAATCTTTCCTTGCTATTCACAATCCTAATTATTCAAACCCAAAATGATGTAAGGTTCCAGCCCACCTCAGAAATCATGAGACTTCTGAGTTGTTTGGACATGAAAAGTGCTATAAGAATTTACTTTTTAAAATAAACAACCTGAAGCTGATTCATTCGACTATGAGCTTGCAAAATGCCTTTCAGGGTAATTCCTGTAGTAGCTTGTTGCTTTGTCGCTAGCTGATCCCCCTGGCTCCTCTCCCGTGTCACATCACGGCTCATTATCAGCCTGTTATTCTTCTCTGTGCATTATCCGGAGCAAGGGAAGGTGGCAGAGCAGGACCTGCTCCGTGCAGGGCAGCCCCTGGAAGGCGCTCCCATGCCTGGGATACGAGCCATGTTCCCCCGCAGATGGAAGTGGTGGGTGGATGTACAGCTACAGAGTCTGACTCCGAAGTGCGCTCAGCTGACACACGACTTTATCATTACCACTCACTTTCCCCTGGACTGACATGTACTCAGACCAGCTGATTAGCCTGGAAGCAGGGAAAGGGAGGGAGTGCCTGTGTTTCTCTCTCTAGGGCAAGAAATGTCATTAGCCTGTACAACTGAATGTGCTGCTCTTGCAATCTGCCATGGACTGTGGAGGCATTGCATCTTGCAGGGTGATGAAGATGGAAAATGGAAAGAAGAAAATATTTATGCACTTGATGAAGGTAGGGCCTAAGTTTCAAGCAGTCACCTGGTTACCAGGGAACACAGCTGTGATGTCCTACACACAGCCTGCTCATTCCCTCAGCCAAAAAGGGTTCCCATTGCCAAACTAGCACTGTGCCCACAGTCAGGTTTGGATCCAAGTGAGGATTGTACTGTACAAGGTCAGCCTGGTGCAGAGTGACTGCTCAGCAGAAAATAAACTCAGCTTGCTGATAGTGTCCTGGAGTCAATGGTTCCACAGTGATGGTTTAGATTTCCCAGAGAGGTACATCTGCACATGTGGAGCATTGCACAGCCCACTGCTACCAGAGTCTGCTGCTCATTCAAAAGGACATCACAGATCTAAATACAGACTCTCCACCACAACTGAAAGGACTGTCTCAAGTGTATACTTGAGGAGCTTAGTCCCCACTCTTTTTTTTTTCATTAATTTGAATTGTAACACCAATAATGAGTTTCAGTCAGACAATTTCTTCTTTTTTGGAACGGGTTCCAAGGAGCAATGAAATTAAATTAAATTAAATTAAATTAAAACAGCCCAAACCATTAAGGTGATTGCAAACAGTGCCCCAAACAGCTGCAACCTCTTAATAAGCTTTTTCACAGCTTAGTTAGAGAAATATGGGGGGGGCATTTTTCTTTCATGTAGAACCCGGCTGCTGAAGTTTGTTTCTTTCCTCTCTCTCCTGCAATGCTGGAGTGCAGTACAGTTCACAGGGGCTGAGGACATGCAGGAATTTCCCTCCAGATGAGATCAGTAGGGCCTGATGATGCTGAGGGGGTTGCACACATCATCATGGTCACCACACTGTAAACAGGGTTTTAGGAGTAACTGGACAAGTTCACGGAAGAAATATGTTGAGGCCTGCTCAAAATAAAGACTACCTGCAGTGCAAGTGTTTCTTACCCAAAAGCTATTTCAGGCTAGGGGTGCTCTGGGAAACCATGTACTGCTGCTTGCCCTGCTCTACCACTGCCTCCCTCCCTGGTCATTTTTGCCCACTGTTTGACTTAGTGCTGATACTCCTGCCTTCACTCCCTCTTTGTTGTTTTTTGGAGATTTTTTTGAGGGCTGTCAATTGCTTTGCATTTGTCCCTTCCTTGGGTATCTGGTTCAGGCCATTCTTGGAGACCAGCTACTGGAACAGACAGAATTTTGCTTTGATATGACTGTTCTCACATGCTTATTTCCAGATCCGTCTCCTGTGAATGTTGCTTCTCATCTCCTTCCCACCTCGCTGTGTATCTCTGTTGAGTTTTAGTCTGGGAGCTCTTTTGGGCTGGGGTGATGGGCTGTGGTCTAGGGCAGGAAATAACTGAGGACACTGACACTCGATGCATGGACCTTCTGTGAGCACCTAAGATGTCTCCATTGGCTGTACAAGCAACACAGTTTTTACGGCTTTTACAAAAAATTCCTGCCTGTACCCCCATACATCCAGGGTGCCCTGAGGATAGGGTTTACTACGTCCCTACAGCTCCTAGAATATTTCAGTCACCCCTGAATTGCAAGGAGCCTTAAGAGGTTCTAGAAACCTCTCATTCAACTAGCAGACACGTCTGAGACAGAGCCTTTGTTTTTATGTGGATAAAAATTCCACTTGATGATGTCTTGGCACCTCCTCAAGAGAACTCTGACCCCATGCAAGGGGGTTAATGTGGCCCATTGCCAAATGCATCATGGTTTTAATTAAACAGGAAAAAGACCTCCCCCACAGGTCCCTCCCTGTGCCTGGAAAAGTCACTGAGCAGCTGTTGGATCTTGCAAAATATCTGCAGAAAGGAGCAGGTTTATCTGAGCTGCGAGGAGGAGCTTCCTGCCATGTGGGAACAGCAAGTGGGACAGGGAGGGGAAAAAGGGGGTGAGATAGATCTTTAAAAACCAACAAGTGCTTTATCCACAAAACTTTGTCCCCACCTATTAACAGACTTGCTATCTGGCTTCACCGTAGAAGTCACTGTGTCTCTCCTGCTCACTTGGAAAACTAAGAATAGCTCAGTGCTTTTGGAGTACCCCACCGCCCTGCCGCTCTCTGGAGGAGGCAGAGGAAATGTGACAAGCACAGGAGCTTACCTGTGGTAGGTGTTGGCCACCCAGTTGAGCAAGGTGTAGAGCTCATTGAAATCCAGCAGTCTCTGGCAGAGGTGTTGCAAATGTGAGGCAATGGCCTTATGAAAAGCCTCCACATATGTGTCACACACCTGGTACTCCTCGGGATAGCACTTTTTTACTGATAACTTGATTTTCAGTAAATCTTCTCTCAGGAGTTTCTGGAGGAAATTTAAGTGGAGATCAAGCCAAGAACTATCTTCTTCCTTTGATGCCATGGGTGCCTTCAGAACTCTTTTCTTAGCACTCTCGTTGATTGCTTCCCTCCACATCTCCCTCCACTTTCTGGGCCTGCCAAGCAAGTCTGACCCAGGATGAACAGCTTTGTCTGTGTTGGGATGAGCTGCTTCTTCATGGGCAATTAAAGTCACGATGGAGGTCAGCATGGTTTCCTCTACAGTGGAAGCTTCCAGCGTTTCCTCCACTATGGACTGGATAGCATTTGCGATGGAGTTATAAAGGAAATTCACATCCTTGGATTTCCGTAAAAGCTCCTGTGGGTTATCTTTGTATTTCTCAGCATTCCGTTCAGAGATAGTCTCATCTTCCAATAACTTGATACTTGCAAATGCTTCCAGGAGTTGTCTTTTCTGAATAAGTTCATTGATTTCCATTACTGCAGAAAGAGAGGGGAAGGGGTTGGGACAAAGCAGGTGTTAGGTTCTTGACAGGTAGGTAACAGGACAAAATGCCCCACAGGGAGGCTTGCAGGGGGCTGCTCTGAGTAGCCAAGTCCCAACACTGCCCCTGAGACTGACCCCCTCGACCTCTTCAGCTCCTGTTTGACACAGGAGAGGAAAACAGTGGGAATGCAATCACTGCAAATTGAGCCACATCTCTAAAGTGCCGGTTACAGAGGTAGGAAATATCCAAAAAGCTGATGATAGCCCTGCAGGAAAACCTCAAGCAATGGCTAATGAGGCTGCAGAGGAGGATACTGGGGGCTCAGGCAGCATAAAACCACCTCTGTCTCTGCCTCTCTGCTTGTGTGGAGGTGAAGTGTGACTGGCATCAGGAAGAATTCAGAATATACCATACCAGCAGGATTTCCTTTAGCATATCTGTCCTTGTTTCCTGTATACCAGTGTGCTCAGCACTGCTCCTGACACATTTTTTGGAACATTTCTTGTTTAAATGTAACCTTGGGCAAACCCCAGGCTTCTCTCCTTTTTTGATTTTGTGCATTATCAAGGTTTCCTAAAATACATCCAACTAATGTCACAGCTAAACTAGCTTCTGCATTTTTGAGGCTGAACAAAATGCAGAGATGGTTTCTGGTGATTCCATAATGAGATCTCTCTTCTTGAGATGTAGGGACTGAGACAGCAAGCCAGAGACTGGCCCATCTGGGACTGGCCACCCTTTGCAGCCTGTGTCAGTCACAGAAACTGGCTTCTTGACACAGGTAAGATGCCTCTTACCTGTTCCAGACATTTAGATGTTCTGTGAATGCCTGTGGTCTTCAGCCTCCTCTCAATCAAAAAGAGGGACTTCTGGAGGACCAGAAGACACGGCTTCTTAGCTCTGCAGTTATTGCAACCTGCAATAATCTTTTGGCTGGGGAGTGAGGAGATTCTCTGGGATGGTGGTCCTGGTGTCCCGGAATAAAGACCGAAACACCAAGTATGCCATGTATGTGAAATTCACCCTCCTGGGGTGGTTCAGGGTTGGATGACTTGGCTGTTCACCTCCTGTATATAAGCTTACAGTCAGATGCCAAGCACTGCCTTGCACCAGCGACGTTTGTTTCCCAAGCGGCAAGCACTGAGTGGTTTGGGGAGGTCTGTGCACTGGAGGGGCATCCAAACATGTAGGTTTGGGGTGCTCCTGGTGCTCAGGTCTCACATGGGTTTTCCTCACTTCCTTTGCTTTTGGCACCCACTACCAGTACTGGCTGGTGTTGGCTGAGGCTGGGCGGAAGCCACCAAATACTGCTACCCCAAAGTGGTGGTTTGGGGGGTAGCAGTAGCTGAAGTCTACTGAGTTTCACATTTACTTTACAAAGCCTTGCTCATGCAAGAATCACTGCCTATTTGCCAGTAAGACAGGAAGTATTTGCCATGTGTTGAGGAGATCCAGATGCACTGTTAGCTTTTGAGAGACCTTGGGAAGCTCTTACCATCTCCAGCACTGTAACAGATGCTCTGAACAGGAGATCTCACTGTGATACTGGGCAAATATTAAAGAGAAGGGAAAGGGTCCTATTTAGGCATGTGTGACCACTACTTCTGGGACATACACATATTAAATGATAAGGAAAAATTGGAGAGTACTCAAAGAAGATGTGAAGGACTGGTCCATAGCCTGTAATTTGTGCCCTTGGGCATGTCTGCACATGGGTTTTATACCATATGTATTAAATTATCTGTGTAGCATAAGAGTACCTGTATAAATACAGAAATATGCCACATATCCCAACTATTGATACATCATAGAACACATAAATCTTTGAGTACCTATATGGTGCTACAGTTGCTTCTACACCAGGAAGGGAGGGAGACTGTACCAATTAACTTAGTCTCTTCTAGGTAAATTAATATAAAACCTGTTTTTATACAAATGATTACAGTGAGAGACTAGAGGAATACATTCTCTTCTGTTTATCAAAGTGAGAAAACACCATTTAATCACCATCTAGGATAATTATTCAGGGAGGTGATGTTGGGTGCTAAATGGATCTTTAATTTAGCAATACAAGATCAGCCAGCTGGTGGTTGAAGGAAGACAATTGAAAGGCAATTAACTATTATTCAGCTTAATGGTGCACATGGTGGAGTCTCCATCACTTGCCATACTTATCTCAGGATGGGATGTGTTTCTGACAGAGCTGCTCTAGTCCAGGCCAAACACGAGTTATTGAGCAGAGAATGGGCATTATTTATGCAATTATTCAGCTCGTTTGTTGCAGGAGATGAAAAATCTTATGATAACATTTCCTGTTGCTCCTCATCTATGACCCTTTGAGATCAGACTAGCAAAGTTCATGAGACAGGCTCAGATCCAGCTTACCGACCTCACAATGTATCAGTGCAAAGCAGTAAATAACTTCACAGTGAGATAGAGCACATTACAGCAGTGAGACAATGCCAGCCCATCTATCTGATCCCTGTGGCACACTATGCAGAACATCAAGAATTTCTTTCTAGAAATTTAGCCCAAGGAAAGGTCAAGCCATGTCAACCCACCTCAGTCTATCGCCAGGTGGATGCATTTTAGTACCTCTGCCTTGAAAAGATGGAGTGAAGCGGTGCCCAAACCATGATCAAAGTCATTGCAGTCTGCCCACACTTGGGGAAAGGTGAGAGCTATGCTAAAGGTAGTTATTATAATTAGACCAAGACCTATCTACATAATGCTGACAAAACACACGAGAGTAACCAGCCAGAGGAAGACAAACAATAAATACTTGCAGCACTGCTGTTGTGAGAAGGACAGGTGGAAAGTCAGTGTAAGAGAGCAAAGTATCTGTGAAAGTGTCTTTGCAAGGCAGTCTCTAAGATTAGGAACCAAAGCGGAGATGCCAAGTCAGATCCCAGCCAGACTATCTTTATTCCCCATCAAGGCCTTGCACCAACCTAAAGAGCACAGTCAGGGGACCATCAGTCTGAGAGCTGAAGAGCAGAAATTGTCCAGAAGGGCAATGCAGGCAATAGTGTCAAAATAGTCCACAGTGCACTTCTAGGTATTGTCAGACCAGCAGTTCCCAAACTGTGGTCAGCAGATTGGTGACTGATATGTATGAAGGGCGATATGTCCACTGACAGGTTGATGGGTAGGTTGCTGATATGGTTGAAATAACGCAGTGGTGGCTACAGAGCAGCATGTTCAGTGACAGCAGGTGACCTGCCCAGCCTGGGCCAGGTAACCTGCCCAGCCTGGGCCAGGTAACACCCAACGAGACCGTGCAAGGGATGCAGTTGTCTCTTCCTTGTGATGGGATACCTTGTTCTTTAGCACCTCTGTTGGGTCCAACACTTGCACACTGTAAATTAATGTAACCTTCAAGGTTACATTAATCCTGCCAAGCAAATAACACTGGTGGTTTTGCTTCTTACCTGAAAGAGGTTTTCCTTGAATGGGCTCTGCTTCTTTATTTTCACCAATCTTCTCTACACCATCGCATATCGTGGTTTTGTTCTTCTCATAGCTCCTAAATGATCGCAAAAGTCCTTTTCCTTTCCAAGTGCCAGTATCTTCCTTTCCACTCTCTTTGTTCGGACTTTGTTTCGATTTCCAGGTGCTTAACCTTCTAATACTTCCAAAGAACCCACTGTCCCTGCTGTGCGAAGTTGGGCTGCTCAGTTCAGAAGTAATCTCCATCTTTTCCTCCCCGGCACTGCTCGTCGGAGAGGCTGGTTCTGAGGTCACAGTCCTTGGGTCTAACTCCATATTTCTATTTTTCTTGTCTTTCAACGAGAGGTTTACCAAACAGGTTGATGGTAATCACTGAAATGTATAAACCAGCAGAATTAGAGGTGTTCTTAACAGGATATTACTCTTTCTCCAAAGTCAGTCCTGGAGTGAAAATCTGGCCCATTCTTTTCCTGTGCATAATACAAAGATAAGGAAAGTTGTTGTAGCCTGCATCTGCTGAAACCATTTCTCTACCCACAGACACCAGATGCTGGCCTGCACCTGGTGCTCTGGGAAGCTCCACTTAACTCCCTAAATCAGGAAAGTGGGAGCTATTTCTCCTGCACCAAGGAATCATTAACCATCAGAGATGCTGAAGTCTGTGCAAAAATACCATTTCACTCGGTAGCAAGGTATGGTTTTACTTTCCATTCTTCTAGGTGGATTTCCAGCCATGCAGGAATGATGATCCCCCCTTAGTCTCACTGGGGTGTTGCCACTTTCTGATCTGAATATGGCAACTTTGGGTTATGTTGTTACTTCTGCCCTGCAGCTGCTGGGGGTGGCCCAGGGGTGCGTGGTCCCCAGCGGGTATCCGAGCTCTGCTCTAGCCCCTTCCATTAAAACCACAACTATCTCTGCGCTCTGAATCATCATGGTTACAATGCAGGAGGCCGTACAATGCAGAAGGGGTTCACATTCTGCCTCAGAGCACTGCATTCCAGCACACCAAGAATGGACATCTCTAAGGTCAAACAAAGCTCTGAGTGAGCTGCAGGGGATGCTGCAGGGGATGCTGCAGGAGATTTCAGATTTCAGCAGGAGTGCTTCTGTCAGTGCTACTGGGGTGCAATCACATCCTCTGCACTTGCTCAGCTCCTGTCCTGCTGCAGACAGACTAACTCCCCTCTGCCCACCCTGAGGGCTGGCCCAGATGCTTGCGAAGGGGGAAGAGAGAGAGATTTTGCCTTCCTTCCCTTGCAAAGGGCTCTCATCAGGTCACCAGTTAACACAGCCTACTCATGGAGACATACTTTGCAGAGCTGAGGGTGGAAAATGCCATGTTTCCCTGGCACAGGCTCAGGGCAGCTCAGTGAACAGTTCAAATCATTAGAAACAGCTATTGCTTGAGGTGACCCAGGAACTGCCTGTCTCAGATCTGTCCAGCCCAGAGGTTGAAATATGACTGCAGTGAATGGATGTGTTGGGACTCTGGAAATAGATTTCACCCTTCCTCAATCAGAGGTTCACTCCCTTGTGCATGGTTATTTCACAAGCTGTGAACTGCAGGGACTGCACTTTACCATGGGTTTGCTGAGCTGCTCTCACAGAGGGATCAGACCCTGCATCACATGCTCTCACAGGAGTATCTAACCATTCATTGCCTCGCTCAGGATCTCACCCCATCACAGCCCGTACAGAGGGTGGGAGGGAGAGGAGGGCACCCCATTGTCTGGGGATTTCAGTAGGAAGGAGGCTGACACCTAGCTCGAACTCTGCATGGGGACTCTATGGACAGAGCAGAGCAGCAAGGATCAGAGGGATGAGCTGAACAGTAAAGGGAGCCAGGGAAGAAGGAACAAGAAACGGGCAAGAAAAGGGATGGAATATATACCCAAGTACTGACCAAACTGATCCCATCCACGGCGAGCTGGGATGGCACAGGAATGATCCACAGGAATGGCACAGGAATGAAACTGAGAGCAGCTCCCTGCTACAGGAAATCCAGGGGAGATGCAGTGGCAGGTGGGCAGCTCTGCAGGGCAGAGGACCAGGCCAGTTCACCCACATCAGCTGACTGGGACATCATTCCTCACGCACATGCTGGTTGAGGGGCTCCCTCTGAGAATGGCGCTGCTCTTCGTCCTCCTTTTCCGTCTGAAAAGGGCTGTAAAAAGTGGACAAAAAGGCCTGTCCGCACCTGCCCAACACCTCCAGCACCTTCACCTCCTTGTTCACCGGGAGAGACTATGATACTGTTTCACTTTCACTATGTCTGAGAGTTTAAAAGAAGGAAGGAGTTGGGGAAAAATGCTGCACAACCTCCATTCAAGGTTAATTATTACCCTACAGATGGGGGTTTGAAGCAGACGTTCAAATGGGGTGAGCTGCTGCACTGAGCTGGCCTGGGACAATGGTGGGCAGAAGGATTTTGGCATGTGGTCCTGCCCTGGTGGAGTGTCTGGTTGTGGGGGGTTCAAAAGCAACCCCCGAGCTGCTGTGTGGGAGTGGCTTCATTTCATCACCTTCTGTCCCGTTTCTGCGGATCATGAGTGGCTCAGTCCCAGTAATGATTGCCAGGCATGGGTGAGGGACAGGGGGCACTGTGTCCCCTGGTTAAATATTTATATATTCACATCCTCACTTTGCTCCAAGGGCACTTATTTCCATGGGGTTGCTGGCCCTGGATCTCTCCATTCCTGGAGCATTTGGGAACCTTGAAAAGAACTCAAAGCAAAGGAGCACAAAAAAAATGAGACCTTGAAGGTTTAAACAACACTAAACACATTCACTTGTTTTTTCACTAAGTGGTGTAAAGTGATTTAACTCCGGGGAAGTTGCAGTGCCCAGACAGAGGCGAGTTAGGCTGCCAGGCTGGACACACCAGGCAGTTCCAAGTGGCCAAAGTCCTGGTGTAAAGCAAGAGGGATAAACCAAGAGTTGTTACCATGCCACGGGCAGTGTGCGCTTCTTTGCTTTAGGAGCCTGCCAGCATGTCACCTGTCAGTGTGACAGGGGAAATAAAGGGGTTAGCAAGGGATTGATACAATAAAGTCCAGTGACATTTGGACTTCATGCTGTGCAAAGGAAAACAGAGGAAGAGAAGAGAGTTGAACAGAGTCTCCTCTACCTCTGGGAGAGATTGCGTGTCCAGGAGATGGAAAGTGTGTGGGATGGGAATAACTGTGATCAATTAAACAGGGAAGAGTGGCAGCATGTACTGGTGTGAAATTGCTCGGATGGCAAGATGGGACTGGGCAGAGCACTGTTTGTGGCAGGAGGAGTCTTGACTGAAGCTTCCCCCAGCTTGGCAGCCCAGTGCTGAGCTTTCTGTCCTTGGGCTCTTCAAAGTCATGTTTAAGACAGAGACTGCCCTGCTGTACTGGGGAAAACTGTAATCGATAACTGTTCTACCATCTGCCAGGTTGACAACATGGACAAAGGAAGGAGTTATTTACTCTGGCACATGCTGAGGTGTGGAAAGCCCCTTTGGACCCAAAGTCTGACTAAACCTCTTTCCATCTCAGCTGGTAATTTTCTCCTCCATCAAACATTTACAGAGGGTTGGTTTGTACAGACAAGCTCACTATGACTGGGATGCAGCCAGAGCAGGCAGCAGGTCCAACATGGGTGAAGTCTGATCTGGATCTCCCTGGAAGTTGTAAGCTACCTCAAAACACAGCTAGCACCAGGGCTTGCTGGAATGCTAATCAAGACAACCCCGGGGGAGCTCTGAATCCCACAACTGAGGTCACCCGTCTGCTTGCAACCCTTTCTAGTGCTCTCTCCCAGCATTGGCTCCTAAGGAGCACCCCTGCTCCTCCTAATGCCATCAGGGCAATGCTGTTTCCAGACGTCTGTCCCCGGGAGGTCATGGGAATTTAAAAATTTACTATGTTGTGCAATTGTTTACCATTTTTCTTCAGTTTTTCTAGAAGGTCATAAGCTAGCTTCCCACCAGAACAACTCAACAAGGAAGAAGGAAACAGAAAAGAAGGCAAAAACAGGTTGAGAAATCACAAGTAAGAGATAACCTGGCAAATCCAGGTGAAAGCACCAGTGCCTCAGAACTCTGTTCAAGGATCTTGTGGCAAGTGGCTGCTCCAATCACTCTGAGATGCAAAACCAACTGCTCCTCACCTGGTTCCCCTCACCTCTTCCTTCTAGGGGGCCTACGAGAAAGCCACAGAGGATCTTTTTACAAGGGCACAAAGTGATAGGACATTGAGGGGGTGGCTTTAAACAGAAAGGGTAGATTTAGATTAGATATCAGGGAGAAATTCTTTACCTTGGGGCACTGGAACAGGTTGTCCAGAGAAGCTGTGGATGCCCTATCCTTGGAAATCTTCAAGGCCGGATTGGATGGGACTTTGAACAACCTGGTCTAGTGGAAGGTGTCCCTGCCCCTGGCTGGGATGTTGGAACTAAATGATCTTTAAAGTCCCTTCCAACCCAAACCATTCTATGACTGTATGATTGTTCCAGCACAGCTTGTATCAGAACTCAGGGGTGTAGATGGAGTGAAATGTTAACAACAATGCAACTGATGCTTCCCAAAACAAAGTTTTCCCATTGGCATTTATTATAAGAGAGAGGTCTGTTTGGTCAGTGCCAGAAGTCTGGTCATCTCACTGCAACCTGCTCAGCTGAAAGCAAGGATTGACTGAAGCTGCAGGAGTCTCCCACATGTTGGTGTTTCCCATGAAAGCAGGATTAACATAATTCTTTTTACCCTTGATGAGCTTTGAGTCTTGCCCCATGCACAAGCACACTTCTCCACATGGCTTTTGCAAAGAGTTTTGTCCGGTTGTAGGCGCATTAAAAGTGACTATGAATAGGGCTGGAGAGAAGTGTGGTGGAGGGGGTACAGAAAATGTCACAGTTATGTGGAGGGTCAGATCAACTTTTCAGAGATCTAGAAAATAAGGACTATGAAGAGGAAATGAACGTGTTTTGGCTGTTTAAGTTAAGGGAGGCCAAACAACAGGTGTCGGCTATGGAAAGGACTGATGAAAAAAGGATGGGAATAACTTGCCCTCCCTCTGCGATGGGGAGAGGACAGTGATCCTCTGCCTGTTGAAGCTGCATTATCGGAGATCTTCAGGATGGATTTCGACAAGTGTCTGTGAGCAGCGGTTTAGGTGCAGTTCCTGTCCTGTTTGCCTTGTGCATGGGGAGTTACCCCTCCAGCTTCAAAGAGAATGCATGAGTTGCCCTACTCCTTCCTTCTCTCCTTCCCTCCCTCTGGGGCTCAGGAGTCTCTTCCCAGCAGGTTTTTGTACTCACAGATGTCCTCGAGCCCTGTGTTTGCATGTCTTGTCCTTGGTTTGGCTTAATTCGCGTATAATGGACACAAATTAGGCAGGACAACCTTGGGAACACATTGCTGTGCCCTCTGCCTCAGTTTCCCCACCTGTGAAATGCATGTATTCAGTTTATGCTCCTTGGGTGAGGAGGAGGTGTGTTGCTTGATCTCTTGCTATGAGAATGTTTTAAAGGGTTTTTGATTTCCTCAGAAAAGGTGTGAAGGATGTGCAGAGCCCAAATCTGCAAGGATGTTGCTGACTATCAGCTCCCTAATGCCATGCACCCACTAACCTCTGTGGGGCTTTCAGACAGCTGCTTTGCCTCCTGACCCTGACCCTTCTGAATATTTGGGTTGAGGTTTATTTGCTCCCTCTTCCCTTCTCTGTGTTTATTACTCATATTTATTATCTTCTTATTTCTTTTCCTGTGATATCACCCATGGAACACAGTGAAAGGCTCCAGAGGTGCAGTGCTCCTTGGTGGGATGAGGGGCAGGGAGAGTGGTATTGGGGGTCCCACAATTCACTTCACAGCCACAAGGTTTTCATCAGCTCCAAGAGCCAGGAAAAAAACACATTGCTGAGGCTTCAGGGGAATACTGCTCTGATGCACATCCAGAAAACCACACTGGATGCACTCTCACAGCCTTGGCAACCCAACTGGCACAGCTTTGATGGGGCATGCTGTGACCTACTCCCTTTCTGCAGGTTTCGTTTGCTCAGTGGTGGGGCTGAAATCTCAACCTGTGTAGGTGGAGGAGACCCCAGAGCTGCAGTGATTTATTGCAGCAGAGAGACTGGCTTGCTATTTTTAACAGCATTGCCAGTGATGGATGAGGCAAAGGCATGTTGGGGGCTGCATGTGCCTGTGCAGCCATTGCCTCCTGGGGGGTGGTTTGCAGAGAAATGAGATATATTGCTTCACCTGCAATATTTTTCTTTCTGCTTTTAGGTTGTGGGAGGGTTGAGCCTTAAGCTGAAAAGTACATTTGCAGGCAAGAAGCAGGTTGTGGTTTGGAAACTGGCTTTTGCAGAAGGGATGCTGGCCTCAAGGTTGAGTGGGAGAATTTGGAAGATGCATTTCTGCAAAACACAGGAGTGTTACCTAGAAGAAGAAAGTGCTCCAGACCCAGGATGGTATCCTACACTGTTTCTGTGTAGCCATGGAAGGAGACCACTGGAATTGGTATATATATTACACGGGGGAAGAAAACCAAGAGTGCTCATTCCGTTGCAGAAAAGTGGGCCAGGATGATTTTCCATGAGAGCCGCCACTGCTGCAGAAGCCCACACTGGATGCTTTGGAAGGATAAGCATTAAAGTTTTCCTTCCTCTCCTCCAGAAAAGGTCTGAAACAGGCCTGTTCGAGCAGGATTTCTCACACTGGTTTTCTTCCTTTGAAGTGAAAATGTTTAACACTTTCAGCAAGCCATCAGCCCTGTGTGCTGTGCCAGGAGCTGTGCCGAAGCGTGCTAGAACTCATGTGAGGCCAACGGGGATGGCGTGACTGGGAGACAGGCTTCCCCATTCTCCTGGTTCTCAGTTCAACAGCCCCACAATCATGTTTGCCAGCATGCACAGACTGGCCCCCCCAGCCCCGGAGCTGTGTGGTGCATCAAAGGTCAGGGCGCAGCGCCCGTGTGCTCCCCCACCCCAGCAGGAGTTCTGCTCCTGGAGACACTCAGCTGGTGCATCAGGGACACGCTGTGGTGCCACCTGCTGAGCGTTTCCTTCTGCTTGTTTGTCATCAGTGGTGAGCTGATGAGTAGACGGGTGGTAATTGCTAAGAACTAGCTGTGCAGGTTCTGTGCTCTGGAGCCCATCAGTTTGCAACAAACATCAGCGAGGCCAGGGTGGAGTCCATCACCCCAGTCCTCTGAGCAGCCTCGAGGTTGAAGTGTCAGAGCTCATTGACTTCAAGAGGAAGCTGGTGTCCTACTGAGCAGGGTGCCCTCATCTCTCATCACAGGAGCTGCCAAACCAGAACTCAAAGAGCAGAAGCACTTT